GTCGACCTGAACAGGAGGCTGGAGCACCTGGAGAGCGCCCGGGCCCACTTCTGGCGTTTCCTCAAGCTCTGCAAGAACTACGGGCTGGGCAACTTCCAGCTGCCCCCCGCTAGCCACTCGGGAGGGGAAGATGCCGGGAGCCCGTCCCCGAGAGGCCCCACCGCAGCCCAGCCCAACCTGGTGGCCATGGCATTGAGTAGGCAAGCCAAAATTGAAAGGTAGGCTCTTGTTTTGTGGTGTTTGAAGGCTTTGGGGAGTCAGCTGAAGAGAAGGGGAGAGCCCCGGGTGGCACAAACAGGGGCTGTGAGGAAAGAACCAGATACTGGAATGCTTTGAGCATGAAATGTTCAGTTTAAGGTGTGCACTGCATGTTGCTTAATGGTTGTGCACAGACTGGAAAGATGCATTTACATCTTTAGTTTCTGGTCTTTGAAAAACTGCACAAAAAATTGTTATGGTTAGTTTTTTAATTAGCTGTTTAATTAGTTCTGGTGAGCGTGGAGAAGAGAAGCCTGAGAGGGGATCTGATCTAAAGGGCCCTCAGGGGTCAAGAGGCTGGGGCCAGTTCTCAGTGGTTAATAACTCCTTCCCAAAAAGGTAAAAAAAAATCCAGAAAGCCCAAAATGATATTAAAAATAACCTCCACTCCCACAAACATCCTGAGGCAGAACTTGGAGAAGTGTTTTCATCTGCCTTACCAGCAGCTTCTTGACATCTGTGTCCTGCAGAAGCCACTCAGAAGGGGTTTTACACTGGTTTTCTTGGTGAAGGAGCTGGTGAGCTCAGCTCCTGGTTTTGTCAGGAGATTCTTGTGGCCAGGCTGGCCTCATTTTACCTAAAAGTCTTTATTTTCCAAGGATTGCTCAACTCTCTGAAGAAGAAAGGAGTAATGGAGGCAGGCACCTCTAAATTAGCACTTGCCTTCTCAGAGCTCCTTTTGGCAGGCAGGAGACACTTAAATTACAACAGTAAACCCTCACAGCTGCCCTTTTGGTGTACAGTTTTCTCTTTAAATAGGTGAAATCATCTTAAACCTTTTAGAAAGAGTAAAATTTCTGTACCCTGAAGTGCCCTGCTCAGCAACCGGCAGCTCCGAAGAGCAGTGAAGAGGGGGTAGGGGCAGGAGGCAGCTCTCTGACTATATCTGAGGAAATATCAAGATGTAGAAGATGGTTTCTTGTAGAAAACACTCCCTTTTGTCCCCCTTTGGGACAGATACAACCAGAAGAAGGAGCTGGAGAACAGGCTGGCCTCCATGAGAACCTTTGTGGAGAGCGGGCAGGCCGACGAGGAGCAGACAAGGGAGTTTCACCTCCTGCAGATCCAGCAATGGATCCACACCAGCCTGGAGGAAATGGAGAGTATTGACCAAGAAATGGTCCTCCTGAGGAGCAGAGGGACAGCCAAACAGGTATGAGAGCTTTCCTGCTGGGGAGACCTGCTGGGGGTCAGTGAACCCCAGAGGGGGTCAGCAGCAGA